CCCTCCTGGTGATGCTGAGGCCTTGACCACTGTTTTAGGGAATCACTTTCCCTTTTCTGGGTCATACAAATCAGATGGAGCTTCCAGGGGTGGCCAAAGGACCCAGAGGAAATCTGAGGTCTTTCTCTACATTAGAATTGCTAAACCAGTAAATTGTAAACTGGAGAAGCCTGGGGCCTTATATTGCCTCCACCTGGAGGGGTAGAGTCAAAAGTTGTAGATTCTCAGTGACTCTGAGCACATGATCAAGCTGCTGTGAGGTTGCAGTCTACTACTCCCAGTAAGTCCTTTTTCATATAAGCATCAGCTAAGAGAGTTTTGAACATTCATAGAAAGGATGCCTATTAATGTAGGGACCCAAATTGGGGGGGCGGGTGAAAGAAAGGAGGGAAATTCTGGAAAAAAACTTCCTGTTGAGTTTGGCAGATTCTTAGATGTTAAGTTTGTGGGTACATAGAAACAGTGGTGATCACAAGGTGCTAGTATGTGTTCAGTAACACAAGCTGCACCAAAGAGAACACATTTCCGCAAGAAAATCCCCGGAATGGGGATCTGGAGACTATGGTAGATAAGGTATCCAGAGGTTTGTCCTTTTATTAAGTTCTAATGGATAAAGTAGAGAACCATCAACTCCATGGACTTCATGCTCATATAACATGACCTTGAGTCAAGCCAACTACCTTAGATGGTCAACCAAAGGAAGCGTTCCTGCACTGTTACCCAGTGCAAAACATTGTGGGGATAAGGAAGCAGAGAGTCTTTTAAGATTTCTGCTCTCCTGACTTTGGGATCTGTGGTCAAGATGATTTTATAACAATTGAACACTTAAGTCCAGTTGATCGATTATTTTCTTTTTTTTTAATATTTATTTTTAGTTGTAGTTGGACACAATATCTTTATTTTATTTACATGGTGCTGAGGATTGAACCCAGGGCCTAGCTTGTGCTAGGTAAGCGCTCTACTGCTGAGCCACAACCCAGCCTCTGATTGGTTATTTTCAATCTGGAATGAATGTCTAGAAAGTTCTGTTGGATAGAGACATAGGAATCATGTTTATCAAATTTGTGTGTAATGCAAATCTTGGATGTATAAACTAAAACACTGCTTGAAGTTGAAGACTCCAAAAGGCCAGAACAGGCCAAAATGAGCATGAGAACATTCTATTATAGTCTGAGTTCAATGTCTGGGTTAAAGCAACCAACAGTGCCAGTACAAGATAAGCAGATTTGACATGATTACAGTTTGTATGTAAAGGACTCTATTTAAGTTGGTTGTTACACAAATCAACAATGTGTAAGGGAAAGGACCCAGAACAAAGGTGGGCAGTGGAAACTTCACTGCAAGACCATGCCTGGACTTTTGTGTTCAATCTTGGACATCATCTCCAGAACTGGAGACAAAGACCAGGGGATGCACACTTGCAGTTTAGGAAGACAGTCCAGGGGCTGAGTTGCTCTTTTTAGTTAGGAAAAGAGGCTTTTAAATGAAATAGATATGTTGAATTACTCAAAGGAATCTCACACAGACAAGGGATTAAACTTGTTCAGAGTAGTTTCAGAGGGCTAAACAAGAACCACTGTAAAGAAGTTAGCTAGAGGGAGATGGAGTCAGCCGCAAATTAGACTGCTTTAATGATTAGAGCTGTCCAAATACGGAACAGACTACCTTTTGCAATCTCCATCTCTTTACAGGAGGGCTGTAGAGGGTTGGGAAGTTGTCTGGGGCCTCTTGCAAGTCACTCTTTCTACTGGCCTTTTCTGTCTGACTAGCTTTTTTTTTTTTTTTTTTTCTGACTAGCTTTTAAAACCAACCTGCCTTTTACCAGCTAATGTTCTCTTTTATTAATACCTTTGAAGTTCTTTGATCAAGACCATTCATCTTTCTGAATCACAGTTTCTCTTCTTTTTCTTTCCCTGTCCTAAATTGATTGAACATGGATGCAATCTTTGCTGAAAAAGTTTTTTTTTTTTTAGTTGTTTTATATAGTGCTGAGGATCAAACCCAGTGCCTCATGCATGCAAGGCAAGCGCTCAACTGTTAAGCTCTAGCCCCAGTTTGTTGACAAGAAGCAAGTATAACACAATGCACTAAATAAACTGGGAACAAGCTTATTTCTACATAAGAGAAACTAGATATTTCTGCTTTTGGGGGGCTGAGTTTATGATCAATCTTGGTAAATAACCTATATATAATACATTTCAGAGATGCCAACAGGTTGAGGAACTAAAGTCATAATTGGTATGATAATGTACATGGGACCTATCATGGGCTAAAATTACACTGTTTCAGTTTAAGGGAGTATCCCAGATTCCAGTAAACAAAAAGCTTGCAAAGAATAGTCTAGGAGAGTGAATGAATACGCTAATAGTATCAATGTGGATGAATACCTTTTCCATCCCTGAGAAACCTATAATGCAGTCTAATCTTGTTTCATCTCTTTAAACCTGACTAACCTTCACAGCCATTCTCATGGGGCAAGTAGTTCAGAGGCCTTCCAGTCCCCCGCCCCTTCCACAAATGGAAATCAATGAATTTGAGTTCAGCAAATCCTCCTTTGCAAGTCGCTATGGATTGGAGGTGGCAGGAGTCTCATTCATTCCAACAGCAGGCATTCAATAAGTGATGAGCATATACTAGGGTCTGCTGTGTACTGAGGATGGACAAGGTAGACAAATTCTGTTCTCACAGAGCTTGTATCCTGATGTTCCACGAGATGCTAGGAGGCAAACAGTAAACAGAAAGTACAATATCAGAGATAAAAGCTGTGGAAGAAAAAAAAAACTGAATAATGTGATATGGGGAGGGTAGACATTTTAGATAGCTGGCAAAGGCATCTCTGAGGAGTGGACTTGTAAACTGAGATTGGAATGATAAACTGGAAGGCGGTATGGAAGACTGAGGGGAAGAGCATTCTACACAAAGGTGGAAGTCAGGAACCCCTCCAGAATGGTGCCAGAAGCATTTACAATCCCAAGCAGAGATGGGGTCACAGAATAGAGATCCAAGGCTTAAAATATTCTCTAGGCTGATAGAGGTAACAGTCCTTCTGCCTGCAAGTACTTCTGTTGGTGTTGAAAGAAATGAGGTCTAGAAGAACTGGTAAGTACTGGTGCAGAGCTAGTCTCAGGGGAACCAGCAGCCCTCCATTACCACACCCCCACCACGCAGTCACCTGCCCTTCCTGAAGAGGCTGTGACCTAACCAGTTTCTACCTTACTTCTCCTAGGGAGTGCATTGCTATACACTAGAATTTTGTTTGTTTCATGTAGGGTTTTGTTGGTCCTTTTCCAAGTATCAATCAAAACTGCATGCCAACCTCCACTCCTCGGAAATAATTAAATGAAATGACGTGCCTGCTTTTTTCAGCTGGGTAATGCACTGTTATTTGCATCTGCTGAAGGAATCTATCTGAGGCCCTGAGGCTGAGCCATGTGGGACAACTAACATGGGTTTTTGTTCATGTAGATGGTGCCCTATTGCTAAACACACAAGTGCACTAAATGCTTTATTCTGCAACCTATTCTCTTCACAAAGCTGCTCCTCTCTGAGAAAGAAAAGTGTTCACGAGTTCAATGCAAAGTTCTTTTCCCCGGTTAACCATGATTTCTTGTTAAGTATGGTTTCCTTACATTGGCAAAATTCCTTTTATCTTGCTGTGACTTAGGCTTTGTACAGACTTTCCCAATGGAGCAAATTATCGGTGGCTCATGAATAGGTTTTGGATTAAAGGGTCTTTTTCTCCCAATGCAGGAAGGGGGAAACCTCTTACTGAAAAGAGCCTTCATCTTAACGCCAGAGCCAAGCACCTTCTAGCACCAGTCTAGCTGCTACAATAGCATAACCTGTGAGTTCGATGCAGACAAGTATCAAAGGCAGTGTTGGCTATGAAAAATGAAATAAAACCTCCTCCCCCAGAGTAGGGTTCCCTCAGTCAGGGCACAGAATCCGCAGGGGAAGGAAGGGCTGGTGTTGGCGTGCGATGGAGCTCTCGGCTGGGGTGTGGGATGAGGTGTTCCCGAGGCGACAGATGAGGGATGTTGGCTGTGTGGGAAGGGAACTGCGGAATTCCTCCCCTTGGATCGTGAGGGGGGTTCTGAAAAACGCAGATTAGGATGCGGAGAGCGCGGCCCAGGCTGCCGAGGGCGAGGAGACGAGCCAAGGACACCGGCCCGGGCGCGCTTCGGGGACGCCCGGCGTGGACTGCGTTCCCTCGCCTTCCCAGCCACCCTCGGGCCAGCCAGTTCTCTCGGGGTGGTGGGTCCAGAGAACCCACCCCGTACCCTTACACCCCGCCTGCAGATTGACGGAAACCGGGGACCACCCTAGCAGAGGAAGACCGCTCTTGCCCCTCGCAAGCCCCCGGCCGCAGTGGGTAATAGGCGGCCGCGGCGCGCGGCCTCGATCCGGGTTCCTGGGGGCG